GACGTGATCTGGAATGTTCTGTATCTAGAGGAGTCGAGTATTCCGTGGACTCCGATATAACACCTACTCGCTACCGTGACGGGATCTAGGTGTGATAAATGAAATATGTGAAATAAGTAGATGAAATAGAGATATGAAATGAGATAGAAACCGGGATTCGGAATCCGACGGATTCCGATGTTTGACTTGGAGCCGGTGGAGTGGATGATGGACATGGTCCGTGGAGTCCGCGGCATGATCGTTACACCGTGCTGCGAATCCAGAGGTCGGCGGGAGACCTGAACGTGCTCGAGCCGACGACTTCCACGAAGAGGAAGATGGAGACGGCGACTCTGAACGAGTCGACGAAGAGGCTGAAGACGACCCTACCGGTGGTTCAGACACTGAAGGAACGGATGAAGATAGACCAGGACCAGCCAAACGAGCTCGTATCGACGAGGCCCAGTTCCCTTGGCAGCCTGTACGAGAGATTAACCGTGCAGTCCTCCACCCCGAGCTGCAACTCACGCTCGAGCTCATCGAGAACTATACCCTCGATCTCAAGGCAGCCAGACGTAGCCTCACGAACTCTGCCGACTGTCCCGAATTCCCTGATGAACAGTGGCTTGCCCTCCTTGCAGGCAAACCAGTCAACCTCGACGCTGTGTTTTCAGCCGACCACTCCACCTCGATTAACGAAATTCAGACTCATGAAATATCTGAAGGAATTGCGCTCCGACTCACCGAAAATCTGGCAGGAGCTTCCGAGTCCAAATGTGCGATTACCAATGCCGACGAGTGGTCAACTACTTGGTATACGTACACGCAGGCAGTCCTCATGGCGTTCCCCCATCGATCCCATGAACTTGCGCTCTACCAACGTTATATCTCCTCTCTCTTCCGCACTACCACGTTCCCGCTCCACTGTCGCGTCCTCGTCCTCGATCGTGCCATCCGTAATCGAGTCGGCCGTTGTCGCAACGTCCTGTTGTCGGACACCGAGCGATTCAGAGATCTCGAACGTTCACATATCTCGCCAGCAGGTATGGCCTACCAAGACTTCGAGGTTCGAAGAGTCGGGTCAAAGAACAAGCGCGGGAGCAACGAGCGAGGACCAAGTCTCGACGCTTGCAGGCGGTGGAATGCCGGGGTCTGTCCCTCCACCGCAGGCAAATGTAGGTACCGGCACGTCTGCTCAGGGTGCAAAGGAGGACACATTGTCTCCGTTTGCCCTAGCAAGTCGTAGAGAAGCGCAAAGCAAGTTAGAAGGGAGGGGGAGGTTCGAGCGAGGAGATGGGAGGGGAGGAGATTGGGAGGAGGGAGCGGAGTCCGCACCTAAGTATCGGAGGGGGTTTATCTTCACGGATTCTAGCTCCGGAAAAAGTCGAGCCGCCGGTTGCACAGAAACCGAGTTACCGGTGCCTAGACCACCGGCACGGGAATTCACCAATACAGAAGCAATCGAGACCGTAGCTGAGTACACCGAATTATTTCGCGTCACCACACCTATCAAAATAGATGTATTCGAGAGTCTGCTCATAACTCATCCTAATCAACCTTTTGTCCAGTCAGTTGTCTCTGCACTACGCGAAGGATTCTGGCCTTGGGCCTCGACACATCGCGACGACGATTTTCCGGCAACTTGGGATAACAGTAGAATGAGTCCCTGTTCCGAGATGGAACAGAAGTTCATCTCAGGATACCGGGACGAAGAAATTGCTGCGCGCCGGTTCTCAGCTCCATTTGGACCAGACCTACTGCCTGGGATGTATAGCACACCAGTCCATGCCGTCCCTAAACCACATACAGACGGGTTTCATATGGTGTCGAACATGTCAGCAGGACTTTATGCTCCTAACAGGATGATCTTGCATTCGGACATTGCTGGGTCTCGTTTAGATGGCCTCCACATGTTCTTTTCCTCCATCATGCACTACAGGCGACATTCTCCAGAAAACGCAAAGAAAACTCTAGTCGTATTCAAGTCTGATGTGTCCAAAGCTTACAGATTGTGCCCAATGCATCCGTTGTGGCAGTTGAAGCAAATCGTGACCATGGGCTACCTCACCGATGAGCAAAAGGCTGCAGGGGAGACGGAAATCCTGGTTCGGACCGTCGATCGAAACAACAACTTTGGCGGCCGTGGGTCAGGTCGAGTTTGGTACAGCGTGAACGGGCTGATTACCTGGATAGCCATACATGTTGAGGGCATCGAGGATCTCGGTTGTTACATTGACGATGACTTTAGCTTCGAGGATCAGAACAGGCTGGAATATTATGAACCATACTCCGATTTCTATCCGGCAAAGCAAGCTCGATTACTGAAGCTCTGGGATCGCCTGGGTGTCCCCCACAGTAAACCGAAGCAACTGTATGGGCTGACACTAATGGTGATAGGGTTTGAAGTCGATCCTAACGCGATGACGGCCACAATGCCGCTAGATTCCAAGACGGAACTCGTTCAAGCCCTCCGTTATTTTGCACTGTCTAACCGGCGGAGCTTGCAAGAATATCAGCAGATAGCAGGGTGGGCTAACTGGTCTCTCAATGTCTTTCCATTACTCAAACCAGGGCTCTGTAATGTCTATGCGAAAATGAGAGGGAAGACGAACCCGTTTGCGGGAATAGCCCTGAACACAGCAGTAAAAGACGACTTGCTGTGGTTAGCTCAACACATCGAGAAATCCGACGGAATTTGCTGTTTCGACGCATGGGATTGGGACCCCGTTCTCGATGCTACGATCACCATTCTTTGCGATGCCTGCTTGGAAGGCATGGGATTCTGGGTACCTCGCATAGCCTGTGGTTTTGTCTGTCCGACACTGAACTTACCAGAAAATAAAGAGTTTATTTTCTTTTTCGAAGCCTTGTGTGTTTGTGCAGCTATTCATTGGGTCACTCGCGCTTTATCTCCGGAATTACGCAAGCGTGTTACCATCTTCACGGACAATACCAACACAGTCGCCATCTTTAACTCACTCAGGGCATCTCCCATCTACAACCCCATCCTCAAATCGGCGGTCGATGTCATGCTCTCCCACAACATCGATCTGCGAGTGCTTCACATCCCAGGCTCAGACAATGTCGTCGCGGATGCTTTGTCGCGTTCGAAATGGTCTGTAGCCCGAGAGTTGGTTCCTGACCTGCTCATTTTACCCTTCGAACCCCCTCATGACGTGCTGGGGGTATCAAAATGTTGATCGATGTTACTCCAGGGTCCAGACAAAGGCATCATGAACCTTGGACCCTGGAGAGACTCCACCACGAAAGGTGCCTTGCATTAGGCTCCGCAATTGACACGGCCAGTATCGGACCTTACAACTCTGCATTGAACTCATATATAACATTTTGCAAGCTACATAGCATGCCAGTCCAACCAACCGTCGACACATTCAGTTATTACATCGTTTTCATGTGTGCACATGTCAAACCCGCCACAGTGTCCACATACCTTTCTGGAATCTGCAATCGACTCGAGAAATTCTTCCCAAATGTGCGCGAAATTCGGAACTCACCAATCGTTGAACGGACTCTGAAAGGATGCAGACGCCTTAAGGGGTCCGCAACAAAAAGAAAGTCCCCCCTGTCTCGTTCAAACCTACGACACGCCATCAAAATCTTGCGAGACTCAAATGACTACGATGACTTGTTGTTTCTAGCCCTGTTGGTCACCGGTTTCAACGGCCTTCTCCGGCTAGCTGAAATGAGCATGCCCGATTCAAAGAAGGCTAGGAACTGGAGAAAGGTTACTCGGAGAACTACTGTCGAGTGGCTGCCAGAGGGCTATGCATTCTTCCTACCGGCGCACAAGGCCGATTTTGCTTTCGAAGGAAACAAGATCGTCATCCCCTATGACGATGACAGCAGCTTGAACCCAGTCCCTATCTTTCGACGGTACCTTTCTCGGCGTGACAAGACACATTTTGTCCACCCTGCATTGTGGATCACATCCACTGGCAAGATACCCACGAGATCTTGGTTCATGCGCAGACTACGACAATTGTTTCCTAACACGAACATCGCAGGGCAATCCATGCGAGCAGGTGGAGCCACTGACTTAGCCGAGAGAGGAGTCCTGCCCTATCTAATCCAAGCCCGAGGTCGTTGGTCTTCAGAGGCTTTCAAGATATACATTCGAAAAAACCCTGTCCTGCTCCAAGCCCTAGTCGATACCAAACCTCAATCTTACGGGAATCACACCGCGAATATTCACACCGACTCACTGTCTAGTACCCATTAGCCCTCATACACGCGGCGGCTGGGTAGATTGCTCGAATACATGCCGAAATGGCAATTCATTCAGTAAACTCGCTAGATCGGTTCAGACAGTTTTCGACCAATTAGTCGGGTTTAAAGAGTAATATTTACACGAGTCTAATTGGTGAGAGCTTACCTCGGTCACCTTCCCACGTTTTTCACACCTTTTGCAGGTGTCGGCCGCTCAGCGCACAGTACCATATTCAGAGTATGCGGTCGAAGCCTCCCCACGGGAGCTACTCCCCTGGAGTCTCAGCCGTCTCATCCGTGAGTACGCGTCACATCTGAATTGTCGCAGAGCTAACGGGCATCCAGCATATTGCCCGTGTCTCTCTTTTCAGATGTTACTCAAATACCTGGGTGGGTTCAAACAGAGACCTCGTCGCTCTCGTTAAACCCCCAGGTATGTTATCATTCATTTAGTCCCTCCAGTACACTAATTCCACTCTCGGTACGCTACCAGAGCCACACTTATATTTTGCACCCTCCCATCATGGACATTTCTTTTTATATGGACGATATCACTTTCTCCAACATTGCGGACTACAGATATTATACAGACTTTATGGACTCAGACCACGATAAACTCGCTAGATCGGTTCAGACAGTTTTCGACCAATTAGCGTACCGGTAAGAAACCCTCCAGGCGGGGTGGGTACAAAACGGTATCAAACCCCCCCCCCCCCCTGAGGTTTCGTGCAGCCCTAGTCGTGACTAAATTATAAATCTACCTTTAAATTGAGACAACAAAAAATCCGGATGAATCCGATCTGTGCGGATCGAACGCACGGCCTCGGGATGGACAATTTTTAACCAATTACAGTCCCACGCTCTTCCAACTGAGCTAAGATCGGACGTAATTAAAGCTTTCAACGAGGTCTATCTATGGCCATAAAAATATTACAGCTCGCCAGGCAAGAATCATGCACTGCACTTGTCATGTTCGGTGAGTCCCTCTCTATGCTTTGCTACCTACTGCATTACACCATGTCCCAGTCGTTGGTCTGACGGGAGGTATCGCGACCGGCAAGTCAACCGTCTCTGCACTGCTCCGCGACAAAGGCGTTCCTATCGTCGACGCCGATATCATAGCGAGAAAGGTGGTCGAACCTGGTACCACTGGACTTAAACAGATTGTCAAGTACTTTGGCGAGGAGGTGCTATCTGCTGATGGATCCCTGGACCGCAAGAAGCTGGGCTCGGTCATCTTCAACGACGAGTCGAAGCGGAAGAGGTTGAATGCAATTCTGCATCCTGCTATTCGGAGGATGATGGTCTGGGAGGTGGTGAAGCACTGGTTCTGTGGACGGAAGTATTGCGTGTTGGATGTGCCGCTGCTTATTGAAGGGCCTATATGGAAGTGGGTCGCCCAGGTTGCCGTGGTATACTGGTATGTCGCCGCTGATGTGTTCACTCCATCGCTAATTGTATCTTTCTAGCCCTGAGGAGATACAACTCGAGCGACTGATGCAACGTGATGGCTCAACGCGAGAAGATGCCTCTGCCAGATTATCGTCCCAACTGCCCATCAGCGACAAAGTGAAGTACGCGGACGTTGTGATCGACAACTCGAGTACCAGGGAGAACCTTGAAGGACAAGTCACCGCGTTTGTTCAAGAATTGGAGAAGGCAGTAGGGTGGACTTGGGTGCTGAGCTGGTTGATTCCACCGTGTGGTATCCTGTCAGCGACGTGGATATTAACCAGGCGAGCAATTTCGAGGAAGACCAATTAGAAGGGGCTCTTCATGGACGGCCCTGGTAGATCTTCTACCACTAGCCCGCGGCCGCTGCAGACATTGTACAGGTGTGCAACCATGCGTTCTCGCTTGATTCTTCCTCATTGACAGTGCATAAGGCCGCTGAAGAATTTCATTGTATAATAACGTTAAACTTGCCAGTATATTCTGCGTGACAAGCGGGACCTACGTTCGTACGCTCCGGCACCTTAAGCTTAACCGACTGAATACCATTATCATGATCAAACCATGCTAGGTCCGCATGCTGTCAGGTAGCTATCGACGTCGCTTCTACATCTGATGCTTTCCTGGACATGCAAATGATGATGACAGTGCTATTCCTTCGCATCGTACCAGCCCTTTTTGCACCACGGTCGTCTAACAAAACTGGTGCTTCGAAGCTTATGGTTCGACGAGGGAGATATGCATCTATCCTGTGGGAAGTGGGTGCAATGTTTATCATTTTTCCATCGGCAGGTACTGATGGTAAAAATTTCCTGTTACACAGTATGTAACATTACTTGAAACTAGACGGGCTCTTTGATCACGGTGAAATATAGTTTTTCACTGTTGATTGACATGAGACTATTGCGGCATTCTATTTTGGGGCGGCTATCATCCTTTTCTCCTTGCAGCGTTTCTATATTAGAGCACTCGACGTTCTGGCCTTTAGGTTTCCCGCATTTCGTGTATGTTCCATCGACCTCGAGCGACTCACTGATAAGACACCTTCGACAGTTCGCCCTCTATTACCGACAAGATGAATTACGTGCATTCGTGCCTATCTGCGGCGTAGATAACTACGAGCGAATCTTTGTGAAGACGAAAGACGGACCAGAATCAGCACTGAAATCACCGACTTTGATGGTTTCATATGGCACGAGACTCCCAAACGAAGAATTCTGCGGGCATGGTCGCCGTTGTGCAAGAATATTGTATATCAGAGTGGGGTCTTGTTCAGTCCCATTTTGCCCGTCTATGAAATTGTGCCTGCATTTGTCCTTTAGTCCCTGTATCGTGATGTCAGTAAGGCGCGCTGTAGCAACGCAGTCCGGATAGCGGATAGAAGATCATTGTGAAACGAAAAAGTGACCGCAGCAAAATAATAAACCTAACATGGCTCCAATATTAGCCTCTCCTTCCTTCCACCACCATCATGTCCATCGCAGACGTCGTCCCGCCATTCGCAAAGCCTGAATTGCCGTCTGCAGAAGAATACCGCAAGCGAAAGGTCGCTCTCATTTCCGGTATGTCTCTGCAGTCGGATCGCGCGCCTATTCATGGATGTGTTCAGGTATCACCGGCCAGGATGGCTCGTATCTGTGCGTACCACCTCAGCCTTCGCGATTTTCTCTCATTTTTTTTGGGAAACAGAACGGAACTCCTGCTCTCCAAAGGCTACCAGGTGCACGGCATCATTCGCCGTTCATCGAGCTTCAACACCGGTCGTCTGCATCATCTGTACGAAGATCAGCATGAACGTACGTCGCCCCGTCCTGCGCCCCCGCACCCCCTTTGACGTCCCCCAGGGCCGAACAAGTTCAAGCTGCACTACGGTGATCTCAGCGACAGCACCAACCTCGTGTACATCATCGCCCAGGTCCAGCCCACGGAGGTCTACAACCTCGGAGCGCAATCGCATGTCAAGGTCTCCTTCGAAATGGCCGAGTACACTGGGGATGTCGACGGGCTGGGCACGCTGCGGCTGCTCGACGCCATCCGGACCTGCGGGCTCGAGAAGCATGTGCGGTTCTACCAGGCGTCGACGTCCGAGCTGTACGGCAAGGTCGTAGAGACCCCTCAAAGTGAGACAACCCCGTTCTACCCCCGGTCGCCCTACGGGTGCGCCAAGCTCTACGCCTTTTGGATAGTCACTAATTACCGTGAGGCGTACGGGATGTATGCGTGCAATGGGATCCTGTTCAACCACGAGAGCCCAAGGAGAGGCCGGACGTTCGTTACGAGGAAGATCACGAGGGCGGCAGCTGATATCTCGGTGGGAAAACAGTCGTGCTTGTACCTTGGGAATCTGGATGCTCAGCGTGATTGGGGACACGGTGGGTATTGTTCGACCTTTATATCCTGTCTTCTTACGTCTTGGATAGCGCGCGATTACGTCGAAGGGATGTGGCTCATGTTGCAGCAGCCCGCTCCTGAGGATTTCGTTCTTGCTACCGGCGAGACTCATCCTGTTCGGGAGTTTGTCAACAAGTCTTTTGCGGCGCTTAATATTGAGCTAAAGTGCGCTGTGCCCTTCTTTACTTTGCTTTCTCTTATACTTGCATACAGATGGTCTGGCCAAGGAGTAGATGAAGAGGCAATTGATGTCAAGACGGGCAAGGCCGTCGTAAAGGTGGACACACAGTACTTCCGTCCAGCAGAAGTCGAGTATGTACTCCCTGATATCAACACGCGACCTTTACTTATGGATATCATAGCCTCCTCCTTGGGAACCCTGCAAAGGCTGAACGCGTTCTAGGATGGAAGCGCCAGGTTGATTTTGACTCCCTGGTAAAGGAGATGGTTGAGGCGGACCTCAAGGCTGTCAAAAGCTTAGTAGAGGATCAAAATTAGGTATTATTCTGTACAAAACCCAAGGAGGTATCTTGCTGTATTAGACCCCGGACTGGACATTCGTTGTTTGTTTTTTGCGTATACCCCCAGAGTGACGGGATGAATTTGGTTGATTTCCATTGTGCATCTAATGCGAAATTGTCCATTCTACATATCTACTTCTTGAATCCTATCCTCGCGGTATCATAGTTCGCCAAGAACCACTTCACAGTTGCGTCGAGAGCTGGATATCACGGCGATGAGTAACCCGTTAATGATTCGTGTTAAAACTCACCTTCAGGGAAAGGAGTGAACTGGAAACCTCCCATGAGGGAGATCACTTTCTTGTTGGAGGCAGGTTTACGGTATTGGCCGTCTGCGCGGGTGATGTCGAACTGTACAAACGTGTCTCGCAGTGCAAACAGTGAAAGACATATCACTTACAGTATAATCGCCTTTGAAGTCCAGTGCCTTTACAATAGCATCCGTGACATCCTTAATAGTGACTTCCTCGTCTTCTCCAACTAAATAGGCCACTCAGAATATAGAATCCCGCAGGAAACAGCGACACGAACCGGAAAAGATGACAGGCTCAACATCTTCATACTCCCGAAGCTGCCAGATGAACATTTTGGCCAAATCATGAGAGTAGATAAACTGTCTCAAAGGCTTTCCGGTTCCACCGACGATGAAGGGTGTGTTGTTCTCTGTGAATGTCATATAATGGGTGAGGTAATTCGTTACGCGATTATACGACGTACTCTGTGCTAGCAGGCATTTGTGAATTAAAGCGGGGATAACGTGAGCGTCTTCCAGATCACTGAGGACAACAATCAAGATGGGAACTCAGATATGGCGTGAGAAGCCTACAAGTTATCGTGAGACCCAAACACGTTCGTAGGGATGGCAGAGGTAAAGTTGCAGCCGTACTGCTCCTTGTACGCACTGCAGTAGACGATCAGATTGTATATCGATATCAATAGATATCAGACGCACCGGTTAATGATATCTACGGTCCGTTTTGAATGAGAGTAGCCAAAGTTACTAGGGTGCGGTGGGCCAAGGTGGATTTTCGTCTCGTCCAAGGGGTAGGTGACCTTGTCCGGGAAGACGCACGTCGAGAGACACGACACGACTTTCTGGACTTTGAAGAGGTAGGCCGTGTGCAGGACGTTGTCGTTGATGAGAAGGTTGTCCCTGAGGAAACTGGCCTGCATTGGTGTCAATGTACAAGTAAGCCAGGATAGAGATAGATACTGGCATTACTCCTCATGTTAGCGAATACGCCGCCCACTGGATATGGAATCAGGACATCGTACGCTATCGATGCGCAGCCCACTCACCGACTGCTGCCAGATGAATAACATGAGTTGGCTTGTACTTTTCAAAGAGTTTTCGAGTCTGCTCTGGATCCCTGGCAAGAGCAATGGTTGCAGGTCCCGCCTGATAATTATGTACGGTATGCCTTACCGCAGGTCCCCCTCCTTCGACGTCGCGAATACCCAAGTCTCGTTCGCATGCTTGCCGAAACGCGACTCGGCTGGCTCGGTCTCGATTACGTGCT